GGCCGTCGCCCATCATCGTCACCATCATCGTGCATCCTCTGCATCACCAACAGTCATGGTGATAACGATGACTACGCACCCTCTGCATCTCCAATCATCATGATAATCATGTCCACGCATCTTTTGCGCCACACTTGAAATGTAGACTATACAAAGACATGGCGACGACTACGTATCAGCATCGCCCATCATCGTCATCATCACCCTTATCATCATCGATGATAACCATCATCGTGCATCCTCTGCATCACCAACAGCCATGATGATAATGATGACTACGCATCCTCTGCATCTCCAATCGGCTCGAATCATGGCCGTCGCCCATCGTCATCATCACCGTTATCATCATCGATGATAACCATCATCGTGCATCCTCTGCATCACCAACAGTCATGATGACAACGATGACTACGCACCCTCTGCGTCTCCAATCTCATCATCATGATAATCATATCCACGCATCTTTTGCATCACCAATGGGCTCAAACGCCACACTTGAAATGTATACTATACAAAGACATGGTGACGACTACGTATCAGCATCACCAGCAGTCCTCATGATAATCATGTCCACGCATGATGATGATGATGATGGTGGTGCTGATGATGATGATGATAATGATAATGATATGAATCAGATTGCAGATGATGATGATGATGATAACTATCATCGTAGCATCCTCTGCATCTCCAATAGTGATGATAACTATCATCGTGGCAACGCATCCGCAGCACCCTTCCCGTGCGCCTCCCCCTTTCAGGAGCAGGGGTCGGCGGATTGACTTGAAGAATTCGTGCATTAAATATTGCATCATGATCGGAATCATGCGCAACTGCCCAGCAAACATTGCCTCTGACAATCCAACTCCTCGACATGCTAGGGTATTTTGAGACCATGCTCGGGCAAGCCATTCTACCAGAACTGCCTTGTTCTGTAGCATCGTTCGAAAAGGTGGGTGAGCGTTGACATTCGAGAGATTGCCTGTGAGGACAGCCTTTTTCAACTCATCTGGCTTTGCCGAATGCTTGAGAAGTGAGCTTTGCAGACAATCCTCACTTCGGACACGCGCTAGATCATGCATTTGTCCACTGCGAAGCTTTTTTCTTCTGCTCAGGTTGATGTGTGGCCGATGCTGTCGTCACCAGGTTGTTGGCATTTGTTCGAATGTGAACATACGCACTTCTTCCTGCGATATCTGACCATAAACCGCGAAGGCGAAGACAGTCCTTGACATATTGGTTGAAGTTGTAGTTGTCTTCTGGGTCTCATTGTCGATCAAGGATGCTCTGGAGTTTGATAAACCTCTCTCCTCGGCAAGGAAATGACGTGTGCTCATTCTCGTTTTGCCCTTGAGAGTCCACAATCGAATGCTCAGAGGAATACTATTCATAGTTCTCACCGTTTTTTGATTGCGCGAACATCGGCAATGGTTGGCGTTGCGGCTCTGGAAGCGCATCCCACATGATACTTTGTCCTAGATTGAGGCCATTTGGCTTGCCTGAGCACGCTTCGGTAAGCGGCGTATCATCTTTCACATGCTCGTCGAAGGGAGTTCATCGATTGCAACGTTCTGGCGCGCGTTGATACACCATCCATGTTTCTCATCCTTCTTCCATTGAGTACATTGTCCAGCGAAAGGGCAATCAGTCTTATCTTCTCGAAGACATTGCCTTTAGACAAGAGAAGATTGTCAACATGTTGTGAGAGATGGTGCGTCATTGAGGGCGTAGGCGGGCTTCTTCAGTCTTGCGCCAATGTAAGACAGGTGTCCCATCTCAGTCTTGTTTGATCACAAGCTCACCGGCACTCCTTCCGTTATTTTCTGTGACTTGTGTTACAAGTCGGAGGCCGCTGCGCGAAGCTGCTGGGCTGTCAGTCTGTTGCTCGTCCTTCTGTCGATCCTGAATTCCTCGCCAAACCCAGCGCGGCCAAGCTTCGAGGGAATTGCCCATCTCGTTGACGGTAGGCGCCCGGCTTCGCACCTTGAGTTTCCTGATGTCCGCAAGTTCGAAGACTTCGTTGCCCAACCATGGCCTCTTGGTGGTACGCTCTGATGTATGAGAGTAGCGGATTTAGAGATTCTTGTTGCGTGGAAAAGAGGACAACCATGGCTCGATCTTCATCGTGGTTGTTCTTGCAGGGATAGGCGACAGATCTCTTGTGAGAACACCCGCATCGAGGAAGTCCTGCAATATCTGTGGAACAGTGAATGATCCAGTGTCGGGGCAGATCTTCTGGTCAGCGGTAACGTAACACCAATGCGCTTCATCAATCACGAGGTCAGCGTTGTAGCCAGGATTGTCATCGCCGCAAGGTCGTCCTCATCTGAACCTACTGGTCATGTTGAACTCCGCATCGAAGGTTCCCGTCTGCTTCCTGAGCGCGTCGCACTGCTTGTCAGAGAGTGTTTCCAGAAGACCTCCCAGAAGAAACAGTTCTGGGTACATTTGCGCCAGTCTCTGCAATACCTTTCAGCTGCTGATACTCAGGCTGCATCTCTGAAAGAGGTCGCATAACTTCTTAGAGGTAAAATTGCGACGCAGCTTTAGACTTCTTAGGTTGTTCTTTGGATGACGCAGCCCAAAGGCACAAACATCGAGGTCTCCCCAAGCAACTTTCGCAGTGGCAAACAACTGCACGCAGTTCAAGTTCTAGAGCTGTGATGGCTTGGGGTTCTCCACGAAGTATCTTCCAAGCCTCAGCTGAAATCTTACGACGGATGCCGCGAACGCAGCAACATCTGGCAGTTGCTTCTTCTGATCTCCATGACCATGTGTCGTCCTTCTGATTTCGTTACATCGAACCCTTTCCAGACATCGATAGCAGTTCCCACCCGCATTTCCGTCGATGCGTAGCGCTGGCTGAATGGTGTTGCACTTCCTGCAGGGTCCTGCGAAGATATCGAGGACGTGGGCGCTCCCTTTCCTCACGCAGTCCAACGCGCATGAACAATGTGTCTGCTTCAGTTCTGGTCGGTGTGGCCAAGACAAGAGCCGTGGCAAATTTACTGCGGCGGCGCTTCCCTTGCAATTCTTATTCTCGGTTGGCTGCGGGGGTGGAGCGCTTGGTTCTTTCCTCTTTTAGCTTGATGAGGATTCTTGATGTTCTCGACGCAGTATGCTTGAACCTTTTTCATCACGCAACTAGGAAAGCCATTCCTGGTTTTCCAAGTGGAATCGTCTCATGCTTTCTTACTGTGGAAGAGTCGACCTTGATGAGACGGAAGTCCTAGCTGGTGCGCCGCCCAGCGCTTTACCCAGGCAGTCAACTCCGTGAAACACCCCCTGTCCCATCAGAGAGCACGCGCGCAAACGCAAAGTTTAAAGCCAGCCAAAGTCAAGTGGACACTTCCGTGCATCTGGTTTATGACATTTCTGATACTCCGGAAACCTGTGCGTGACAACTGATCATACTCCTCAATGCAAGGTTGCCTGAGGTCGTCAGCCGCTTGAGTCCAGCGCAGAACATGCTCTCGGTCTTGCAGTAGGCAAAATGGAACAACTTGCTCCCGGTCTCAGCCGCGTGTCAGGTTCACACCGCCAGGGCCTTCGATCGCCGTCACCTGGTCGCACATCCAAATCTACGTCCGCGCCGAAGGCAGCAGCTCCGAACATGAAAGACACGGAGGACTGTCGGAGGACTCATCAGGATCAGCTGCCGACAGGGTCATCGACAAGAAAGCCCGGTCGACGAATGAGCCAACCCATCTTCGAGCCAACCGAAGACGAGAAAACGGCGCCGCGAGAAAACTGCGCTTCCACTGGCCTTGGTAGGGCCAACAAGCGACTCTCACAACCTGAACAACTGAAGAAATTTCACCTCCGGCGTCATCGTATGACAACAGATCACTTTCGATTTCGCGCCAGAGCTCTACATCTTCCGAAGGAGACATACGACCTTTGTGACAAGATTCGAACAGAATGTGAAGTGGGCAAAGACTGCGCCTTCGAGAAGTGAAACAAGTGAATTGGGCCAGGAGGACCCATCGTAGCGTTGGTCATTCTGACCTTGATTACTCCGAACGGAGCAGCAACCTTGCTCGCGGCAGAAGTTGTCAAAGCCACACAGGAAATCTCCGGTGGCTGACAGATACTTCCTTTAAGGAAGAACTTCCTGGCCTTCTGCAGGGTCCCTTGAGCAACTCGTTGCAATTTGCAGCCCATTAGTGTTTTTCCGCAAAGCCTACTCTTGAAAAGCTGGCCCCCATCTGGCCGTCACTGATGCGATGGCCAACTACTCATCAAAAAACTGCAGATCTAAGCCAGCTCCAGGGGCAGGGGCCTCTGAGCATTTCCCAAAGAAAGAGAAAGGTCCTCTCTTTAACAACTCCGTTCGAAGTCTACTTGTCGTATCTGGTGGAACGCGCAGCAAAGACCTTTTTACCCGAGCATTGGAATGAGTCGCAAACGAAAGAAAGGCTTGAGGCAAAGATGGCGTCAAGCAATAGGATCGAATGGAAGTCAATGGTAAACAAAAGTAGCCTCCCCCTCAAAAACACTGTACCCCAGACGCACGTTTGCTTTTTTTCAAAGATTGCTGCCGCTGCAAAATGTTAGCTGATGAGGCTGGCGGCGCACGTTGCAGATAGGGCTAGGGTTGGCATGGGCACGCAACATTGTGCCGCCAGTGTAAAGGTAAAGCCGGTAATGTTGGTGGGGCAAATGCAGTGGGCGCAGTCATAAGGCTGAAACACTGTAAAATGTATGTTGGCGATGCCGGTGGGCAGGTGCGGCGCATGTGCGCAGGCTTTTGTAATGTGATTATGCTTGAGGTACCTTGTTGATGGGCGCACCAGACGTACAAAGTGTATTGTTATATTACAATTGTGTATTGTTATATTACAATTGTCAGGTCTGCAGAAGACACGTAGTTACATTTTTCAGTGGCAAACCCCAGAAAATGGAGATTACATTTTCAGACATCCCCTCCCGTTATTGACATCCCGCCCCATTATTGGGGTGGGGAGAAAAGATATTGGTTTCCAAGAACTCCGTGCCAGGCACTGGCAAGACTACCTTTCTGGTTCACCTTGTGACGGCCCTCACAAACTTGGAGCTGGATCCATCGCTATCGCGATCCAGGAGCCATGCGTGAATTGGTTCTAAGTGTCTTCCCCAAGTTGTGACACGCGGGCTGGAACCCGGTCAGGTGCCCAGCTAGGGTTTTTGCACGAGAAAGTTTTCCAGGTTGGAGTTTCACAATTGCCAATCTCAGCATTTCTGAAAGAGTCAGGGAGGCAAGCCTAACGTTCCACGCTAGGAGTGCGCAGCCAGCAGCAGCAGCAGCTTTGCGTGATTTGGGCTCCAAACAAGTTAAGACTTGAGAATGGGAAACACACCCAATCGCGCATGCCTTGAGCTCGTAAGAAAAAAAGACATGGGATGCACTCAATCTGGACACTATGAAGACTATGTCTATGCTGAGCATTCAGGAAAGCTTCGGGCGCATCTTGGTGACAACGCCCTCCAATCAGGCCGCAGACGAGTGCCTGCGCAGGCTGGTCCAGGACCACTGTGAATCCTTGCCGCAGACAATGTCAAGAGTCACGGGCTAAAATTGAGGGATCTAAGTCAATGGAGAGAGGGCCAAAGACATTGTGTGCGTGATGCGAACCCCAACCTACAGACTACTGTAATAAGATGGAGGTCAAGAACATTCGACTCATTTCCACCCTTTGACATGCTTGCTGTTCAGCAACAAGCAACAAGTACTTGATAGTAGCAGCGCCCCAGATTATACATAATAAACCAATGATCGCCCATATAACAGTTTGTGCCTTTGTTAGGTTCCTCGCCAGAGTGATTTTGCCAGCTTGCGTTTAACAATGGAATGAACTGTGCTCCAGCAAAAGACAACGGCGGGTCGCCGCCACCAGCACTGCCGCTGACTGTGTTGCTCGGGCGCCTGGGAAGCAGCGGGCGCTTGTTGTTAGACATTGGCCTTGCAGCGCCATCAAGTTCATTGTGGCCTCAGTGCATTTGTAGGACTGCCGCTTAAAGCAGCAAACAAGCAGAACGATTTGTTCCTAGTGGCAAGCCCAGCTGTGAGGCGGCAAACTCATCGCTGTTGTGGCAGCATGCGTTGTTTCATTGACGATGTGAGCTCACAAGATGTTTTTTGATGATTGTCGCAATGCGCTGCACGCGCTACTTTGACACTGAACAGCTGCAACTCGTGACCGAACTGCTTTCGCGCTGACAGAGCTCGAGTTTACTGCCAGAGCTGCGTGCAGAAGTGTGCCTGGCGAACTACGTGCCACACACCCTTTGACTGAAACATGGACACATGTGTTTTTGATGTTTCGTAGAATTGGAAAGGACGGGTTTCTTGCGGGACGTATTCAAGAACAAAGGCAACGCTGGCAAATATGCTCAAAGGTGAGGGGGAGTGACCGACAAAGCGGTCATCTAGGCTGCTAGGTACTTTGGCGCTAGCAAATTGCGGATGGAGCCGCAGAAGTGTACTTCGCTTGCTTAAAGCAGGGCTTATTCTAAGCAAGGCCATGCTGATGGCAAAGGGCTGGTAATATTTGTTAGCAAACGTGTAAATCATGGTAAATGGCAAGAGCAGGGGACAGCTGTTTTTGTGGCACAAATAAAGATGGCTCATTCTGCATTCGGCAAGCTGTCCCTGTGCCCTTACTTCTGGTCATACGCGCGCGTTCCTGACCTGAATTTCATGACGAACGCTGGGGAGCACGGAGCGGCAGCTGGATGTCATGGCAGGCGTGCTAGTGTGGAAGGGACGCGAAGGATGTAGATGTGGCGGAAGCTGAACTTGGGACGAGCGGTGCTTTCTCCAGGCAGCGCGGAGGAATCTCAGTTTTGGTTGACCAGTGTGGCGGAAGCAACGCCTTCGGTCTCAGCTTGCGGCGCGTTTGTGCCCCTGAACTACGAACGCAACTGCCCCACCCATCCCTCCCCCCCCACCTCCAAGCCAGCACTCCCCCCACATGAGCGACCGCTATTGCCCCTTCCCACCCCCATAGGCCCCCGCACGAATGAGACCCCGCTTCCTCCACACCCCGCAACAATGAGCGAACGCAACTGCCCCACCCGCTCAAATCGCAAGTGCTTTCGATGTTGTGGGCGCAGCGCTTTGGCGATCCTGTGCTCGAAGATTTGGTTCTGCGTGCTCGTGTGATGCCGCAACCCGCAGGAGTCAGACATTCCCGCGCACTACATCACTCGTGTGTATGCCCGCACAATCGAGTACAAGTTTGGAAGCAAACTCCGACTTGGGTGGGATCCGTACGTGCCATGGCTGCAAGTCAAGTGTCGCAGGGTCAGGGATGGCAAACACTGGCCCAGTAGCTAGCAGAGCAACAGAGCTGGAAAACAGTTTCTTCAGACTCTTGCGCTTTGGAAGTTTGCAAGGGCAAAGGTGTTTGTTGGCTGTTGGGCCAAAGTCTAAGGACTCAAACCTCACCAGAACGGAGCACATGGTTGAGCCCCCAGACCCGGCCTGCGATTTGGAGAGCGGAGACTTACCAAGCTTTACTTTGTCGATCAGTCCAGTTCGACCAACTTTGCAAGTTGCAAAAGAAGAATAAGCTAGGTGATGCCATCTCTGTAGATGCACAGCATTGAGACCTTTAGCCTCACTGCAAGAACAAAGGAAACGTAATTTGCGCGCGGAGTATTTCCCCCCTTGCGAGTAGGTTTTTTGGGTAGCACAGGAGCAAAAGGAGCGTGGACATATCACATCATATCAACAGAGCCAGAACAGGGGGAAGGTTAGGAAATTGGCTACTTGCGCGGGGCCTACGCGAAAACTGGCTGAGATTATTGGTAAAGGGCTGAGTACAATCAGCAGGCTGCCAAATGAGAGGTTCCAATAGAGTAGACTGCAGCTTTCAACAGGTCAGAACAAAGCAGGCCCTAGAGAACAACACAATGAGGAACGTCCTTGTCTTTCGATTGCCTGTTTTTCTCAACGGGCGATCTGTCAAGTCGAGCGTGGCCTGAAGAAGACTTTGCAATCAGCACGCTTGTTGCGTATGCTCACGCACAACGCATGCCGTGTAGGCATGTTGAATGCAGAACTCCAATTACTTAGTCGAGTCCCACATGAAGTAGCTCCGGCATGGGAGAGCGTCACTGGCAGTACCTTCCTAACTCCACTGTCAAGGAGGCAAGCTCAATCACGCGCTCAAGTTCTTATTCAATTGTTCAAGCGTGGTCAAGTCGTTGCACAAGTAGGTCAAGAAGCAGGCTCCAGATTCACATCAGGCCTGTTGTCAAGCTATCACAGCAAGGCACGCATCATGCCTGTATATCAAGTTCACAAAGCAAGTCAAATTTTCACGCCTCCGGCTCAGGCCGCCGACATTACAGGCCCGCTTTCTTATTTGCGTCCCTTTGGAATTGTCCCCTTGCCCCCTTTCCCTCTGAGATTTTTGCCCCCCTTTCTTTGTTGAGATCCATTCCCCCTTTCCGCCCTAAGGCCTTTTCTCCCTCTGATTTTCCCTTTTCCTTCCTAAGATGTTTTCCCCCCTCTCCCTGTTGAGATCCAGGCCTTTCCCCCCCTGAGATCTTCTCCCTTTTCCTCCCTTTCCCCCCTACGGCCTGTTCCTCCCTGACACCTTTTCCCTTTCCTCCCTGAGATCTTTCCCCCCCTTTCCCTGTTGAGATCCTTTCCCCCCTTTCCCCCCTACGGCCTTTCCCCCCGCTGAGATCTTCTCCCTATTCCTCCTTAAGATCCTTTGGCCCCTTTCCCTGTTGAGATCCTTTCCCCCCTTCCCTTTAAGGCCTTTCCAGATCTTCCCCCTTTTCCTTCCTAAGATTGTTTCCCCCCTTTCCCTGTAGAGATCCTTCCCACCCTTTCCCCCCTGAGGCCTTTCCCCCCCCCTGAGAGCTTCTCCCTTTTCCTTCCTTAGATCTTTCCCCCCTTTCCCTGTTGGCCTTTTTTCCCCCAGATCTTCTCCCTTTCCTCCCTAAGATCTTTTCCACCCCTTTCCCTGTTGAGATCATTTCTCCCCTTCCCCCCTAAGGCCTTTGCCCCCAGATCTTCTCCCTTTCCTCCCTAAGATCTTTCCCCCCCTTTCCCTGCTCAGATCCTTTCCCCCCTTTCCCCCCTAAGGCCTTTCCCCCCCTGAGATCTTCTCCCTTTTCCTCCCTAAGATCTTTTGCCAGCTCCATTCCCCCTTTCCCCCCTAAGGCCCTTTCTCCCTCTGAGTTTTTCCCTTTTCCTCCCTACGATGTTTTCCCCCCTCTCCCTGTTGAGATCCTTTCCCTCCTTTCCCCCCTAAGGCCTTTTTTCCCCCCGCGATCTTCCCCCTTTTCCTTCCTAAGATCTTTTCCCCCCTTGCCTTGTTGAGATCCTTTCCCGCCCTTTCCCCCCTAAGGCGTTTTCCCCCCAAGATCTTCTCCCTTTTCCTCCCTAAGATCCTTTGCCCCCTTTCCCTGTTGAGGTCCTTTCCCCTCTTTCCCCCCTAGGGCCTTTCCCCCCCCTGAGAGCTTCTCCCTTTTCCTTCCTTAGATCTTTTCCCCCCTTTCCCTGTTGGGCTTTCCCCCCTAAGTCCTTTTGTCCCAGATCGTCTCCCTTTCCTCCCTAAGATCTTCCCCCCCCCTTTCCTCCCGAAGATCTTTCCCACCCTTTCCCTGTTGAGATCCTTTCCCCCCTTTCCCTCCCAAGGCCTTTCCCCCCCCTGAGAGCTTCTCCCTTTTCCTTCCTAAGATCTTTTCCCCCCTTTCCCTGTTGGGCTTTCCCCCCTAAGTCCTTTTCTCCCAGATCTTCTCCCTTTCCTCCCTAAGATCTTCCCCCCCCGTTTCCTTCCTAACATTGTTTCCCCCCTTTCCCTGTTGAGATCCTTCCCACCCTTTCCCCCCTGAGGCTTTTCCTTCCCTGAGAGCTTCTCCCTTTTCCTTCCTTAGATCTCTCCCCCCTTTCCCTGTTGGCCTTTTTTCCCCAGATCTTCTCCCTTTCCTCCCTAAGATCTTTTCCACCCCTTTCCCTGTTGAGATCATTTCTCCCCTTTCCCCCCTAAGGCCTTTGCCCCCAGATCTTCTCCCTTTCCTCCCTAAGATCTTTCCCCCCCTTTCCCTGCTCAGATCCTTTCCCCCCTTTCCCCCCTAAGGCCTTTCCCCCCCTGAGATCTTCTCCCTTTTCCTCCCTAAGATCTTTTGCCACCTTTCCCTGTTGAGATCCATTCCCCCTTTCCCCCCTAAGGCCCTTTCTCCCTCTGAGTTTTTCCCTTTTCCTCCCTACGATGTTTTCCCCCCTCTCCCTGTTGAGATCCTTTCCCTCCTTTCCCCCCTAAGGCCTTTTTTCCCCCCGCGATCTTCCCCCTTTTCCTTCCTAAGATCTTTTCCCCCCTTTCCTTGTTGAGATCCTTTCCCGCCCTTTCCCCCCTAAGGCGTTTTCCCCCCCAAGATCTTCTCCCTTTTCCTCCCTAAGATCCTTTGCCCCCTTTCCCTGTTGAGATCCTTTCCCCCCTTTCCCCCCTAAGGCCTTTCCCCCCCTGAGATCTTCTCCCTTGTCCTCCCCAAGATCTTTTCCCTTGGTTGAGATCCTTTCCCCCTTTCCCCCCGAGATCTTCTCCCTTTTCCTCCCTAGGATCTTCTCCCACCTTTCCCTGTTGAGCTCCTTTCCCCCTTTTCCCCCTAAGGCCTTTTCAGATCTTCTCCCTTTTCCTCCCTAAGATCCTTTGCCCCCTTTCCCTGTTGAGATCCTTTCCCCCTTTCCCCCCTAAGGCCTTTTCCCTGCCTGGGATCTTTTCCCTTTCCTCACTGAGATCTTTCCCCCCCCTTTCCCTGTTGAGATCCTTTCCCTCCTTTCCTTCCTAAGGCCTTTCCCCCCGCTGAGATCTTCTCCCTATTCCTCCTTAAGATCCTTTGCCCCCTTTCCCCGTTGAGATCCTTTCCCCCCTTCCCTTTAAGGCCTTTCCAGATCTTCCCCCTTTTCCTTCCTAAGATTGTTTCCCCCCTTTCCTTGTTGAGATCCTTCCCACCCTTTCCCGCCTAAGGCCTTTCCCCCCCTGAGAGCTTCTCCCTTTTCCTTCCTTAGCTCTTTCCCCCCTTTCCCTGTTGGCCTTGTTTCCCCTAGATCTTCTCCCTTTCCTCCCTAAGATCTTTTCCACCCCTTTCCCTGTTGAGATCATTTCTCCCCTTTCCCCCCTAAGGCCTTTGTCCCCAGATCTTCTCCCTTTCCTCCCGAAGATCTTTCCCCCCACCCTTTCCCTGCTGAGATCCGTTTCCCCCTTTCCCCCCTAAGGCCTTTCCCCCCCCTGAGAGCTTCTCCCTTTTCCTTCCTAAGATCTTTTCCCCCCTTTCCCTGTTGGGCTTTCCCCCCTAAGTCCTTTTCTCCCAGATCTTCTCCCTTTCCTCCCTAAGATCTTCCCCCCCCCCTTTCCTCCCTAAGATCTTTTCCACCCTTTCCCTGTTGAGATCCTTTCCCCCCTTTCCCTCCCAAGGCCTTTCCCCCCCTGAGAGCTTCTCCCTTTTCCTTCCTAAGATCTTTCCCCCCTTTCCCTGTTGGCCTTTTTTCCCCAGATCTTCTCCCTTTCCTCCCTAAGATCTTTTCCACCCCTTTCCCTGTTGAGATCATTTCTCCCCTTTCCCCCCTAAGGCCTTTTTGCCCCAAGATCTTTCCCCCCCCCCCCCAGTTCCTTGTTGAGATCATTTATTTCCCCCCTTTTCCTTCTAAGGCCTTTTCCCACCCTCAGTTCTTCTCCCTTTTCCTCCCAAAGATCTTTCCCCCCCTTTCCTCCCTAAGTCCTTTTCCCTGAGTTCGTCTCCCTTTGCCTCCCTAAGATCTTTTCCCCCCCTTTCCCGCTTAAGATCCTTTCCCCCGTTTCCCCCCCTAAGGCCTTTTCCCCCCAAGATCTCCACCCTTCTCTTCTCAAAGTCTTTTTCCCCCTTTCCCGTTTGAGATCCTGTCCCCCCATTGCCCCTTAGGGCCTGTTCCCCCCAAGAAAGATTTCCCTTTTCCTCCCAAAGATCTTTTCCCCCCTTTCCCCCTTAAGGCCCCAGATCTTCTATCTTTCCCCCCCTTTCGCTGTTGGGAGGGAAAAGGGGGGAAAGGATCTCAACAGGGAAAAAGATCTTAGGGAGGAAAGGGGGGGGAAGATCTTAGGGAGGAAAGGGAGAAGATCTGGGAGAAAAGGACTTAGGGGGGAAAGCCCAACACGGGGGGGAAAAGATCTTAGGAAGGAAAAGGCAAGAGCTCTCAGGGGGGGGAAAGGCCTTATCCGCCGACAACAGACAGCGTGTTGGACATAAAAAATGCTCCTTACTTCTTTTCCTGTTACCCCTCCCCTAACCCCTCCCTAGGGGCACCATTTCAGACTATTGCGGGGGGGGGGGTCCACGTACCACGCGGTGATTCGAAGACGCTTCACTAAATCTGTGGGCTTGCGCAACCCAGCTTGTCAAAAACATTGAGGTGTTCGATTCCTCCCGTGTGCGCTTTCGCATCCTTAGCAGCCTCCAGCGGCACATCGCC